AAATACAAATTATGAAAAAAAAATTGATTATGCGGTATCATATAATGACATGCGCATTAATGGCATTAATGCGCATGTCATTATAAAATGCGCATTTTTCCCACCTCTAGTCTCAGTGAATAGACTTACAAAAACTGCATTTCTTCCCGAAAGAATATAAAATTTTAATTTATCAAAATGAGGACGGTTCCGATCAATTCACCGACAGTCACTTCACTGAATGCTCATTTAGCCGACATCACATAGGGTTAGGGTTAAGCATTTGATAAGTTACAGGTATATTTTTACTAAAATTTCACCTGGGGTGATGTCGGCTAAATGAGCTGTCGGTGAAGTGATTGTCGGTGAAATAATACAACCCCTAATAGAATGATTATCTTTATGTAAGAGATTGTTATCAATATGAAACTAGAAAAGACATCGGGTTTACATATTTATCATAAACCTAATTGCATGTAACTTTAAAAATTATTGTTCACGTCTAACGCTAATGCTAACACTAAATTTTCTAATTAGAAAAGATAATCATCATTATTCTTAATTTAGTATTAGTATTAGTAACGGTAATGCGGTATAACCTCGTTCCGTTCAACAAAAAAAGATCCGGAAACAATTTTCACTCTGCGAATGATCGTCCACAGTATGATAATATTTCGATAATCTTGCTATTTATAGCATTTGCTTAAATTGAAACTCCTTAACGTTAACGTTAAATATTTCTATTTAGATTTATGGCTAGTGATGTGCCAATCAGTGTTATAAATTCAAAAAATTTTTATTGTCGCAAATGCAAAAAAAAATATGCAAAGAAAAAGAAATTTATACGCGCTTTATATATACGGAGAGCGCTGATATATGCGCAAATTTAAATCTATGTACGCTGCGCCTACCGCGCGAATCCAATTTACATCACTGGTGCCAATGCGCATTGGAATATCGGAATATTTCTAACATAATGCAAGCCAGAATTCAATGCGCATGAAGTTTGAAAAAAAGGCTATCACTACTTTATGACTAATGTCGATATATAAAGATTATACTTATTTTAACTAGCCTAAAATAAAATAAAATGAAGCAAATAATTAATACTAAAATTTTTGGATTATTATTTAAATGAGCGATTTTTAGTTTCAACTATTTACAATTTTACCGTGATAATTATTGAAAACATAAACGACATGAAATTTACTTACGAATTCTTAAATTCATTACTATCATTATTAGTAATAAAAATTCATTTAATAGCCTATGCTTTTCAGTCATCTCCTAAATCATTTCCTGAGTCATCTCCTTCCTCAGTATTGGCAAAACTTTGGAATGTGGATGAAAAAGAAGTGCCTTAATTATTTGCTAGAGAGGAAACTTTAATCAAGGGAAACCTTCAATTAATTCCATTGCTTGATGAGTCAATCTATGGTGGATCTTATATAGATTTAAAAGCCAATGAAATAATTATCAATACAATAGACCCATCCAAGAAAGGAATCATAACAAATAATAAAACAATAAAACCTTATCTAAATTTATTGTCATTTGTACCAGTTAACCATTCCTTAGCTAAATTGAATAACGCTTATAAAAAATTAATTAGATTAGCAAGACATTACAAAGTAAAAGACGTTATGATAAGTAACGAATACAAAAAAAATAATATAGTCATATATTTAAATAATGCTGATGATAAAGCAAACAAAGCATTTATCAACAGTGCCAAAAAACTTGACCCAATTCCGATTATAGAATACAGTAAGAAAATCAAAAAAAGAAGCCTACATAATTCATCAACTTTAAAATCTCGTGAAATTGACATTCCACTCTTAGGCGGAAGTCACATAGGTCACCCTCTTGCCGATTGTTCTGTAGGTTTCTGGGTGCATTTTAGAGGAACATATTACATAACGACTTGCGGGCACTGTATAACCAATGGTACTAAGAATGATGAAGGGCAATATATTTTTGATTATAAAGGTAAAAATCCACCTGAATATATTGGGCCAATGACTATGTACGATATCTTTGGAGTTGATAGGGGATTCATTCATCCAGATAATCCTAAATTTATCAAAAGCCCATATACTGTATAAAAAATCCAGGATTTCGAGTGCAACCAGAATTAGCGATTGCCGATACTACACATATAGCAGGAAATTCTATTATTGGAGCTACAGTATGTACTATAGGTGCTAAAAGTAATTTAATAAGATGTGGTGAGATAGAAATTGGAGATGTGACAGAGTTTGTAAGCGAGATTTATACTGAGAATATGATTGCAACAACCCGGATAACACGACCTGGTGATAGTGGTGCGCCTGTGTTTAGATTTCTCGATTTGTATTCTTTAACAGACTGACTCAGGGTTCATCTTCTCGGAATGCATAATGGTGAAGGTATGATGGTCAAAGGTCAAAGTCCAGAACAAATCCCTATATCTCTACATATTCCACTATATAAAATTTTAAAAAATGATATGTCTGTTTTTACAATTT